GTGCTAGTGATGTGTGGAGTTATGGAGCTGTAATGTATGAGATTTGGTCAATAGGATATAAACCATTTGAACTATACACTAACCAAGAGGTACTGCTGATAATAATGATAATAATAATAATATTTGTTCAAATTTTCATTACAGTACGTGAAACTGGTTGATTCAGGCTATAGATTACCACCTCCTCCAGGATGTCCTAAACCAATGTATAAACTAATGATGCAATGCTGGTATGTAGTGCTACAGTAGCAATTATTGGTTATGTTGTGCTATTATGTAAATGGTCGTAAAAATAATGCATCTAAAATGTAATAAGAATTTGGGGTGATTTAGGAGCCGATTTTGGAAGAAACCATGGGCTATAGCCTTGGCTTTTTTTCAAAAATTGACTCATTTTTAAAATGGTCATAACTCGAAAAATATTTGTCGGAATCAGCTCAAACTTTGTACACAGCATATAAGGACATCAATATGCATTTAAAACTGTAATAAAATATGGGCGTGATTTTGAAGTATGGTACAAGTTTTTTCAAAAGTTGGGCTGTTTTTTGCATTAAAAAAATCAACACAACAAACATCTTACAATTACTAATATTTAATGGTATCATAGCAAGTATAGAACAGTGTATGTACTGGACAATTAATTTTAACTTGTTGGGTATCATTACATTTACATCATGACATCATCCACAATAATAAGTAATGGTGTTATTGTCATTTTCCCTTTACAGGAATCCTAATTCTCGTAATCGTCCAAGTTTCTCAGATATATCATCAAGTCTATCCTCACCTGATAAACAATTACTAATGATTAATAAAAAGGATCCTGTTACTGTACTGGGTGGAGCTTTAGAAACAAGCCACTCCCTCTACACCGACTTACAGTACATGTACCATAAGTGAAAGTTGTGCTTTGTCAGTCATTAGATTTATGTTACTTTTATTTTTAAAATTGTTTCTTCTCTTTTATGCTTAGAATCCCTCATTTTGTTATAGTTTTAGCAACAACATTTTATATTGATCTTATTGTAATACATAATTATATTACTATTATTATTGTTCTATTATTATTAATTATAAAAATATGTATTAGCATACATTGTATATTTTTGTCTATTGCGTTACATTTTAAAATATTACAGATTACATGTGAATGAGAATTATTAAATGCTAAGAGATAAAATTAATGCGTACTTGTAGCTTATGTGATTCAGCTCACATGCAGTACAGTACAAAGGTTATGCATAAAGTATCTATGGGTTATGTTTGCTACATCAAACACATGCTGTTGTTTGATGTAGCGTATCTCTGATGTGCATGACAACTAATGGTGTTGGCACAACAAAGAAAAAATAATTTTGTCTATCTATTTCCAGTTGGCTTTAGGCGTGGCTGATAAAAGTGTGGCTGAAGCATAAAGTCTACTGCTTCTTACTAGTTCGCTAGGTCACAAATGGATATCATACTTTCTTTATTGCTACTCTCAAGCTCTCTTTTGCTGTTAAATGTCGCAGGAGACTCGCCGTGTAGTGAAGGATTCATGGACTACAGCCTTCTGGAGTCCAAAGCTGGTGATACCGGGATCTCACACTCTATACCTAACAATATAGCTAGAGTAGATCCTTCAAAATGGATCATTCAAGACAGTAGCAATAAGTTTGATTGCTCTGATACAATGACATTGACAGAAGTCCTTATTGGCGTTGATATTAGGACTGAGACTAGTACAAGAAATAAATATCCTAGCATTGAGATTTGGCATAAAGAAGGAAAG